TTACATATGTGTGTAGATCTGTGTACTCACAGTGGCTGTCCTGGTCACTGTTTGGGGACATGTCTGGGGAGTGCTTTTACATTTCTATTTGAACATACCTATTTTCACATTGGTACCAACCTGCCTCCTAGCAGTCTCTGTCACTACTTCCATGCCCAAGCCAGGCTGGCCTCTGCTTACTGATGGCACTTTCCTGTCATGTGCCCCTACCCCATCCCCACCCATCCCCTGGGGGGACCTGACCAGGCTCCTGGTTCTTCTGAGTCCTGTTCTGGGTCTATGACAGCACCTACTCCCCAGGTATTGTGCCAGGTACTCAATGAGCCCACATAAAGAGGAGGAGGAGGGTGATGGGGACTGAGCCAGTCTCGCCCACAGATCCAAGGCAAGATGGACATCTTTCACAAAAATTCGAAGAGCTTTCTTGTTGGCAGTATGTTCTCCCTTTTCTACCTCTGCTTCTGCTTTCGTTCCACCAGCCTGGTCCCTCTGTCTTGTCACTCTTCCTTGCCTGCCTAGTTTCTTTGGCTGGACTGTGGGTACCTGGAGGTCAGTTCAGGGTCAGGTTCCAGTTCATCTGTGCAACCCAGGTGCCTCCAGCCTAACTGGGGATACTGGTGGCAGAATGAATTGAGGCCTAAATAAGTGCATGGCTCTGATAGTACAGAAAAAGGTACCTTGATGGAGCACTTGACATGCATTATCGTAATTATCTCCAGAGAGGGAATGTTATTTGACCAAAACTACACAGGTTACAGCAGAGATGGAGCCTGGATTTCAAGCCAGGATTCTCTGAAGCCACTGTCTGAGGGTTATGAGATATTCTGTGTAGGGGACCGGGGAGGGGTATGACAAGGAGGAGGCCGATGTTAGGTGGGCTTGGGCCCTTTACTCCTTCAGTCAGAGCAGCTCCCATTTGTCCAAATGATTCTGTTGCTGGAAATGAAATAGAAAATGTCATGAGGACTACCTGGTGTAGAAACACAGAAACTGCAGTTGGTATTTTCCTTTTTGCACAAGTATTCTTTGTTTTCACTAATAAAGCCATTTAAAATTCTCACATAGGATTTGCTGTTTGATTAGTTTAACAGGTAGGCACTAAAGAAACACCAGATGAACTTTTTGGCTTAAAATTAGCGACCATAAAAAGACAATACTTGCATTGCTGATGCAGTTGGCCCGGTGATTTCTCTGTCAGCCCAGGGTGCTCAGGGACAGGGGCCTCCTCCACAGGCCTGGCCTGGGGCCTAGGAAGAGAGAGAGAGAGAGAGTCTCACAAAAGCGGGACTTGTTTTATTTGGGAAATATTTCCCCCACAGTTTCTTTTAAATAAGCAGGTTTGTGGTTGCTGTTTATTGTTTGTGTTTAATAAATCTTTAATCCTTGGCTGAGAGGCTGAGGTTCAGGCAGAGAGAAACTTAAAATGTTAGGAGTTTGGTCCTTTTAAGATCAGTCAGAAATGGAGAAAAAGCATGCCAGAAGTTGTAATCCAGAGGAAAAAAGGATTACAGCCATCCACAACTCTTCGGTAGGACCCTTGTTTCATAGAGTGAGATGCACTGAACCCTTGGTTCCACAGCCAGAAGTCTTTCCCTGGACATTGTCGCCTCCTGACATTAGCCATCTCTTGGTCACTTAGAACGAAAACCCCACAGCTTCTCCAGGTGCCGTCCTTGCAAGACCCTTTCCCAGGACTTTCTCCAGCACTTTCGGCCTAGTTGGAAGGGCCTCTGTGTTCAGAGCCCGTGGGTTTGTTCCCAACCCTGCCAGCTTCCCATCACCTCAGATCTGGGGCTGTTGGTGTTTTCCAGCAGGAGAAAGAGTTCTAAATAGTTCTGAGGGGACAACCTCCTCTGTCCTTCCTCTGGAAAGTCTGGCCACCTCCTCCTCATTCATAAGCCCTGAGACTGGCCAGTGTACAGTGCGTTGGGCAAGAAACAGCTGTTGTTTTGACAAAGGATGTGCTTGCCTCACTTTTTGCATCACCGGAGTGAGTCAGGAGTCCATTGCCGACCCTGGGCAGGTGGACCCGCAGACCATGAACTCATATATGGGGTGCATTATGTAAAATGTGTTTCTATAATTATATGTGTATTTTTTTCACATTAGCAGGATTTTAAAAAATTAAGATATATTGCAGTTTTTCCTATTAGGTAATCCATGCACAAGGCAAAATAGCCAAAAGATATATATTGAAGAGCAAGTCCCTCCTCCCTGGTGCCTCCTCAGAGCCAAGGACAGTTTCAATTGTCTCCTGCACCTTTCTAGAGATAGTTGAAACTTATGTAAGCATATGAATAGAGACTCTCTTAAATAGTGTTAGCATTGTTTCGCACATTGTTTTTTTCACTTAAATATATCTTGAAGATCACTTCATCTTAGATAGTGCATGTAGGACTGTATTTTTTCTTTTTTAACCATTGCAGAATAACCCTGAGTAGATATGCCAGTTTGCTATTGCTGGATATTTAGGTTGGTTTTCAGTTTTTTGTTTTTTCTCTTTGTAAGTTTTTAATGCCTTTCAGATGTGGGGACTCTGCGTTCGATCTCACTTGTGACCAGTGACTCAGGGCTGAGGGTTCTGTATTTTAGGCCACCTCCCCTAAACACATTAAATCCCCTTGTTAATGTGTCATTATATTTGACACTTTGAGTGTAGGCAGGCTGGGTAGATAATAAAACAGTATTTGGCTTATGTATAATAACTATCTCCTCCCTTTGTGTTGTCCCCACAGCCTGGGAAAGCCTTGGTGTCCTTCAGAAGGGTTCGGTGGTGTTATCTCAAGGGATTCAATCAAAGATTGTAACGATTGCGAGGCTTAAATCTGACCAACCAAACTTGGGGAGGTGACAGCTGCCCTCCCTCGCAATCTGTGAATGTTCGGTCTTTTCTCCTCGCTGTGCCAATCTGTTTTCCTGGTGGCGGGTGGCAACACGGTATTATATTTGGAGACCCCCGTTGGTTTCTCATGTGGACCTGCATATGTCTGCACGGGTGGGGAAGGGAGTGTGGCAGGCCCCTGGGGGGTCCCCGACTGCCAGTAGCAGGTCTCCTCAGGCTCGCTGGCCCTGCAGCCCGGTGGTAAAGATGGGTTTGCCTTCCATCCAGCGACCTGTCCCAGGCTCAGCCTTTCTCAGTCTGGCTCTCTAATGGATCTGCCTGGGGGGCTTGCGGGGAACCTCGGGGATCAGAGGGTCTCATAGATCGCGTGCTCTTTTGATGCCTTCCCAAGCACCCCACCCCCAATCCCACTGTCTCCAAGCTCTTCCCTCTAGTGAGCCTGCAGCATCCAGCATTGGGCCACAGAAGTCACCAAACACGGCTGATTTTGTGCCCTCTACCCCCCAGCTCTGGAACTAGGGTCCTCGTTGAAAGCAGTCAAGGGCTCTTTGTTTTCCTCTTAAGTTTTCTGCATCCGTGTGTGATTGGAACGAAACATCAACTTTACTTTTTTTTGTCATATTTCAATATTGGCTTCTTTCCCCCTTCTTGAAGTCTCCCTTTATAACTTCTGCTGCTGCTGCTTAAATATAGATGTCTAAGTCCTCCTCCTTACCAGATTGTTTATATTTTTGAAAAGCCTTCTGCTTATCTGCGATTGCTCTCTCTTCTCTATCTCCATCCCCACATTACCACATTGCTTTCGGTTGCTCTTTTTTTCTGCCTTCACTTGACTGGGATGTGTTTCAAATGTGGTCTATCAAAATGTGCAGTGTTTCCCTCTTTGCTGCAGTAGCTTTGACATCTGTTCTTGAATTCTAGCCCACGTTATTCTTTTGGACTTGTTTGCCCAAGATTTGCTGTAATGCCAGAATCACTAAAGGGAAGAGTGTGGTGTGGTATTCTCTCCTCCTCCAGTCCCCGCCCCCCCCCCCCCCCTTTAAACTGTCCAGTGTCCAAGTCGACAGCACACTGGATGTTTGTTCCAGCACTCTGTCATCTCGTCTGGCAGTGGCCCACCCGTAGTGGTACGAGTGAAGTGTTCACCAGCAGGGCTTACAGACTACTTCAGTATTTCCACCAAAAAGGAAAGCAGGTGGAACTTCATGAGGTGGGTGGAGGGGAGGTGGAGAAACTCTCACCTGCTTCCTGCATGGTTCTGGATGGATTTTCATTTTTATTTTACTTGCCTTTCAGCCTTTGATGGGGTCCTTGCTCTGTTGTGCCTGCGCCTGGGGGGAATAGTCAGGACCATTGAGAAGCCACTTGGGACAGCCACTTTAATCCTAAGCAGAATGTGCTAGTGTGTGTCTTTAAAATGGGCCTCTCGGTGGCTATGGGAACGTGTCCTTGAGCTCCTGCTGTCAGCCAGGAACACCTTTTTGGGCCCATCTGCTGTAGGCTTGTTTGAAACTGATCCTTTTGGTGGCTACTCCCAGAATTCCTGAGGTCAGGGCACAGGTTCTTTGCTGCTTTGAGTATCAGTTTGTTGTGTATAGCAGAGCCCAGAGCCCAGAGCCCTTAGCCTTTAACAGGTCCTTTTATAGGGAACCCATTCCTGGTGCTTCTCAGAATCCCAGTACCAGTGAAATAGTTTGAGAATAACCAATAAGCCTCATTCTGAATGTTTATAAGATATTAGAAATACCTTGGAATTTACCTTATAAAAGTCCCTCTTGAAAACAAGTAACAGGTTAAATGATGTCTAGCCTGTAGTAAGCCCCACAATAAATATTTGTTGAATGAAAACAAATGAAGCATCATTACAAAAGATTCCGGATCCACACACTGTTGAAGGACAGCCAAACAGAATGCCCTCATGAGAAGCGCAGAGAGAATCCGAAGGACAGAGCACAGAGACATGACAAGAAGAAACACTTGTTAAGAACAGAAGAAGCGAGTGACTCCAGGGAGGGATGCCATTTGGGCATTGGCCTCACCTGGTTTTAGCAAAAAGAAAAAAAAGTATCTGTATGCACTATTATAGAAACAGTCATTTGTGAGGTGGTGTCAATATACACATCAAAGCTGAGCGAGTTTGGTTTTCTCAAACTAGCGCATGGGGCTGGATGGGAACCGTGTGATTGTGTCTCTTTCCTTGTCCACAGCCCCCAGCGCCGCCTCTGTCGACGAGTTGACAGTCCCTGGAGCACAGGGGCTGTCCCCAGTGTTCTGGTCAAATGCAAATATGATCCCCTCTGGTACAAACTGCAATTACAATCTTGTCTTCCCTTTTTTTGTCTCTCTTGACAGAGGGAACTCGATGCCACCGCAACAGTATTGGCAAACCGGCAAGATGAAAGCGAGCAGTCTAGAAAGCGGCTCATTGAGCAGAGCCGAGAGTTCAAGAAGAACACTCCAGAGGTGAGGCAGCATTCTGGCCAGGTCTCTCTGCAGGGGTCTCACTGTCCTGTACATAATCAGAAGACATGTTGTAAGCATTTAATTTCTCTCAGACAGTCTGCCTTCTTTTGATGGCCCTCAGCCCTGTACCAGCAGACTGCATGCTTCCACGAGGGCTGGAGAATGCGGGCACTGACAGGTTGTTTGAGCAAATTAAAGCACGAGCTATTTGCAGATGCAGACACTGCATTCTGGGTCTTCGAGAATACGTGGCCAGGTGTGTGGCCAGGTCAGACCCTTGAGCCCATCCCGATCTCTGGCCCCTGCCCTCCATGCCCACACTACCCCCAAGTCCATGGAGGGTCACTGAGTGTGAGGATGTAGTTGGTGGAGGGCAGGCGGGGTGTCTGAGGACTGCCCACATCTCAGGATGCATATGCCAATACTTCTTGTAAATCAGACATTTAATCTGGTAAGGCCTTTTAAATGCCTCTGTTTCCTGAAATATGCTTTAAAGGGCACTGGAAATGTGCTCTTTATGTGCTCCTGTGTGTGTGTGTGTGTGTGTGTGTGTGTGTGTGTGTGTGTGTGAAGTTTGTGTTCGGAGGACAGTGGAGTAGTTAGGTCAGCAGATTTGGCCCCGTCTCCCAGGCCTCCAGATTCTTCCTTGGAGGACAAAGGGACAGGCCTGGAAGAATAGCTGCTTTCTGGGAGGGTGCCTTTAACTTTCACAATATACCTCATTTACAATATACAGAAATCCTGGAAAATGGTACGTGAATTGAATTTTTAAAAGTGGACTTAAGTGTTCCAAGGAGATTGCTATTTAAGTGAGTGCTATTGTGAATCATTTGGGGAAACAAATAATTAACCCTCTGTTTTCAGAATAAATATGTTGGGAGAAAACATGATAGCTCAGGGGAAAGAGAAAGGGCTCTAGGGGCAGACCTACCTAAAGGCTTTTAATTTGAGACCCACTATTTACCCTCTCCACTCCACCCCGCCCTGTGTGGATCTGCCATATTTCGACAGACCAAAAATGCAGATTAAAGTAATTCATGCCTGGGGGTTGCTGCCCTTGGCAGTTTCGGGGGAGCCTCTATTCTCCATGTTCCTCCTTGTCCCGAGTAAAGACAGGCGCAAAGAAAGGAACCAAGGATAGGACCCTTTGTTGCCTCCTTCTCTTGGGCTGCTTCAGGGTAGGTCTTCCTAGAGCAGTGATGGCGAACCTATGACACACGTGTCAGAGGTGACACGCGAACTCATATTTTTGGTTGATTTTTTCTTTGTTAAATGGCATTTAAATATATAAAATAAATATAAAAAATATAAGTCTTTGTTTTACTATGGTTGCAAATATCAAAAAATTTCTATATGTGACATGGCACCAGAGTTAAGTTAGGGTTTTTCAAAATGCTGACACGCTGAGCTCAAAAGGTTCGCCATCACTGGCCTAGAGAGTCTTGCAGTGGGGTTTCCCAAGCTCTCGTCCTTGACTTTGTTTCCCCCCGACCTCTGCCATGTCTGTCTCTCGAGCCACTCCCAGCACCATTCCAGTAAGCAACCGTCACCTGCTGTCCTGTGTTCTTACTGCCCTCCCTTGGGGACTGTATGTCCAGGAGTGACCATAGAAAAAAGGTTAGACAACCTTAAGTAAACCTAATCTGTCATATGACAAGGACTGTGAGGAGGATGAAGCAGAGAACTGGATTCTTGGCTATTCCTCTGGAGCCCCAGATTCTTGTTAGCTGCCAAGGGCCTGTTCCAGGCGAGGAGGGGCATGTTTCACCCGGCCACCCAGTGCTGCACTCAGTTGGTAAATGTTGATTGTACTGAACTGGGCCCAGTCTCTCCATTGATGTCTAAGTGGGCCTCGTTTTGCAGGAACTGGGGACCAGCTCACACAGTTTGTGTTGCATCCCATGCCAGTTACTTGAAAAAGCATAACCTTAAACTGCATTTTATTTCCTAATCCCAATAAATAGAAGAGGCTTGTGAAGGAAGCAGCCTGGTTGATACATGCCTTTTGGGGCACTGTTTTTCAGGGCACAGTTTTAAATGTTGTTTTCTGTGGAGAAAGGGACCAAGAAACTCCCCTGTGAGAGGATGGAAGTTGCCATCCCGCTTGTTTCTGGCCTCTGCTAGTTGGTCGAGGCTGGTACCCACTCGGGCTGCTTCCACTGCAGTAGGGAGAGTCTGGCTGTAGCACGAATCTCAGGAAGTGTAGAAGGGTGAAGCTGCTTGCAGGCTCCCGCCCCCACCCCTCCCCTTGCGTTTTCCTATCCCAGGTTCATCCTGGAAACCTATAGGGGGTCCCTGTGGGAACCCTGAGGCAAGACTGATAGAGATGACTGGCATATTCACTTATGCCACCAACCAGAATCTTCTCTTTGAAATTTTGAAGCCACTTAAGGCCATGGTGGGGGTGGGTAGCTGCAGCTGGGGTCCTCTGGGGTACACAGAGGGAGGGGAGTATGTGAGAGGTAGACTGGTGGTAAATGTGGGGGCTCTGGTGAGTATGGGGCCTGGGATCTAGAGGGGATATTGGATTGTCACTTTGGGGTTTCAGATCAGAGGAGCCCGACTTCTCTTTGACATTAGTCACTTCTCCTGATTCCACCACTGGACAGATTATTAAACAAGGAAGGAAACCGATTGCCATTTACTATAGAGGGAACATGCTAGAAGATGGACCTGTGAAAATGAAGGTTGCTTAGAACTTTGTTGGCTTGCTGGGAGGAAAGGTATCTTTTCATGTGGATACAGACTAGGATCCTCATGCTTCACATGGTTGGCCGAGTGAGGCCCGGGGGCCACTGAGGCAGACCAGGGCCAGTGGTGCTCTTGCTGCTGTCGCACCAAGTGTGTTGATTCTCAGTGAAAAAGCTGGGATTCCTCTTTGTTCTGGGTAAGAAGGAAATGTCCTCCCAGTGTTTGTTGAATATCCAATAAGTTTAATATGCAGGATTAGGCACCAGGGTGAAGGCAGAGGTGAGTAAGGTTGTCCCTCGACAGGGAATTTGTATTTTCCTGGGCTGGGCCTGCCCAAGGGCAACTGGGAAACCTTAAGTCCAGAGGGACAGGTGGGCTCTGACAGGAGGCTTCGGGAAAGGCAGGCGGAGTCTGACAGGCTGGATCACTCCCCCAGGACAAGCCACAGGAACACAGAGAGGCAGGCGCCGGGGTGGCCAGAGCCTTGAATATCGTTTGTTTAGAATGATTTTTTTTAAGTTTCAGTTTTATGTCATTAGATTAACACCTTTATAGTCAGTTGATGTTATTGCTTATTTCTTTTTACCCTTAGAATTATAGTTAATTTGAAGGAGATTGCAGTGACTCTGCAAATAAAGTTTTATGCATTTCTTTGATTGCAAAAATGAGTTCCTTTCAAAGAAAAACATTTTCAATTTTGTAACTAAACATTCATTTCCTACTGAATTAATAATTGGGAGTTGAACATAAAAGACTGTGGGGTATTTCTAGGTTGTGTAGCTTTCCATATTATTTTTGCAGGTGACTTACTGGCTGTTGCCATTGGGCAAATTACTTAACCTCCCAAAGTCTCAGTTTCATCATCTATAAAAAGTGTAATAACAGGGCCCAGCTCACAGGATTGATAGGTGTGTGTGTGGAGGCTCTGCACCGACCTGGCACCTGGCGTCCAGTCTGTGTCTGTTACTAGAATTAACTTAGAACGAGTACCTTGGAATGCATGAGATGCAGCTGATTTCTGCTCCTCAAAGCTAGTTCAGGGAACTTTAAAAAACACACAACAAATACAGGTAATTTCAGCCCAAAGTGTTCCAAAAGCTGGTTTGTAATAACAGTTTATCATTTTACAAGATACCTTTTGAACATCTTCCATGTGCCAGACGGTTTGGCCCTGGGGGTAAAATCCTGTCCCCTTCTTACCTTCCTACCTTGCACGTAGAACATCCTGACACCGTGTATTCAGTGCTAGGATAGTATAACTGGAACCTTCTGCATGTAGACTTTCACCCAGAAACATTCACATATCCATGGTGGGAAGGATCTAAGCCACAAGCACCTCAGTAACTCTTACTGTAGATAGACAGGGCTGCTTTTTAAGCCTTGCTTCTCAACCTTTGCAATATTGGTGAATGTTAAGGACCCACTCCCCTGAGAAATGCATGTATTTCCATAGCGTTTCTCTTGGACTCTGAAACTCACCTGGACCACTGACTTAGAGAACAGCTCTGGGCACACATCGGCAGTCTCGGCATGCCACTCTGGGAGCATCTTGTGTGACTCCTCCTTCACCCTCCTCCTTGTTGTGCCCAGGGTAGGAGGGATGAAAGGAGGGGCAGGGGCTGTGTGAGGGATCACTGCCAAGGCCCTGACCTCTGGGCAGAGGCCACTGTGCTCCAGCCTCCAAGCTGGGCACTAAGGTGGTGGAACCAGGCCACCTCCGGTTGGATTGGGGCCCCGCAGGCTGGCAGCAGGCACAGACATCTCTGCGTTGGATGAAGCTTTGCTCCTGCCTGCGGTTGGTGAAGGGCAAGGCCAGCCAGGTGGCAGTGTCTGCAGGGGAGGGTAAGCAGTAGCTGTCTCAAGGCCTAGTGGTGTTAGAACTGTGTGCAGTGTAGGCCAAACCCCTTGCCTTCTGCTTTTCTGTTGCTTTGATCAGAGATCTGAGGCACAGGCAAGCCAGGAATATCTTTGATGCCCCAAATGGCATCTGTATTGATAAAGTTGACTGCAGATTGGATCAGTGGTGACATAGAAGCATGTAGGTGCCACCACCCAGAAACCCCCAGGGCACTCGGCCAGTTCCTCACTCCTGGAAACTGAGTTATTTTCTGTTGGGTACTGTAAAAGGGACAGCACTAGAGTTTCATGATTCTGCCTAGGAATTGCTTTTTTTCTTGCTTTTCCACTTGGTTAATTTTTATGTTTGGCCCCCAGACCAAAGTTTGACTTGAGGTTGCCACAGCTACTGCTCAGCCAAGCTGAGACTTGAACCCAGGCAGTATGAGCCCAGAGTCGATTCTCTTAACTGT